CATAGTTTTCCTTGTTTCATGCGTTTTCTTCTGACATGAATGAGAGAAGAAATGTAGTGAGGAGAGTAGAGCCAAGGAGGAAGGGATGGGAAAAAGAAGGGAAGGACAAAATATGACAGTAAAGCCCATTTGTGAATATTCCAGATAGGCTTGGAAATCAAGATGCCCATGACCCTTTTTATAAAAGGAAATCTGATTTACATAATGAAGCATGACTTATAAAATGTGCTTCCCATGAAAAATCAAATGTTAGCCCCTCCTGTGTGTAGTCTAAAGAACTCCCTTTTTTTCTCTTTTGAAAAATTGAAATGGGTGTGGATAAAAAGGACTGGTTTTTGGCAAGGGAGGCGATTTGGTGTAGAAGTATATAGAAAGGGAGACAATTGAGAAGATAAATGCTTCTGCTGGGGGTGTTTTCTAGGAGTCTTCTTAGATGTGTGGGGCAGTTGCAGAACGGAGTTTGTGCCTTGACTTGGCCCATGTTCCTCTCCCAAACTTGAAAATAGTTTCAGTTCTATTGAGCAGAGATTGCAGACCATAGAGCCCACTTTACTTCTACTTTACTTCCTTCTGCTTACTGCTTTTCCCTTCCTTCCCAACTCCCTTCAGCAAGTGTGCAGAGAGGGAAGTTGCTGTGGCAGCTCTCATCTTGATTCTTTCTGTCTTTGACCTCCAGCTTCTAATTCCAAGGAAGGCTTTGAGGATCCTACAGGACTCCTAACCTTATTCTATCTCTACCAGGCCCTCACTGTGCCTAGAAATTGAAGAAAGGAAAAGAACTAATGGTATTATTTTGCTGACCCTGTTTTAAATTAACCCTGAATCAAAGGTTAGGAAGACAGTGAATAAGTAAAGGCTGGGCAAATAAACAACTGTTCTGTTTTTGAGAAAATCTTTGCATGACAATTCTCAAATTGGGTAAGTAGGATTAGCACTTTGTATTGCATTAAGCCATCTGTCACTGTAGGTTCAGTAAATCAAATAGCAGATGTAAAATTCTAAGTGAATGATAAGAGCAATATCTGTTAGATATTAGACCCCATAGTAGTAATTTCTGCAACACCCAAATTACAGAAGCGCCAATATCCTGATGGTCTAACTGCTGTACCCTAAAATGTAGTTATAATGCCACTATGAAATCAATATCCCCTAAATTTCTTTTTGTCATGTAGTTATCTACTGTAGATGTTTCACCCTCTCCCTATTTCCAGTCTTTTTTTGTCTTCCTACACATTTTCTTTTTAACTGACATTCCTCCAAATGTTTAATTGGTCTTGTAAAGTCTACCTTTAGTTTCCTACCTTCCATCTATAAGCTCTCTTCCAGTGAAATCCTATGTCAGTAAAGACGTTGTGATCAGCTTTTTATGCTTCTTGCCTTCTTTGCATCCAATCTCTTTCCTCTAGAGTGTGCTTATTTCTATTCAACCTCACCTGCTCCACAATAGCTTGACATCTTGGCTCATATCCTCTAACTTCAACACAGCCATCTCTGAATGTAGCCTAATTGATATTTCTCTCCTCCAACCTTCTGTAGCTCTGAAAAGACTACATAGCCTAGCTTTTAAGTATAGACACTTGACCATTCTTAAATAATGTGTGAAAGATCATTGCAATCTAAAAAGCATAACAGTGTCCAGCATATAGTGTCACCCAATTAATTTTCATTTATTCAGTTGTTCTTCATTGTTGTTGCATATGGATTGTTTTCTTCCCAAGGAGGGTAGCAGCTAAATGAAGAAAGTGACCATTTTGTTTCCTATGTGTCCCCATCAGGGGCTGGCACCCTGGAAAGCACTCAGTAGATAATCAATATTTACTTACTGACTGAATGATTGATTGACCAATGCACTTTACATTTGGATTCCAAGTTCAGAAGCCTTTGAAGGTGGCCTGGTTTTCTTCCAAATGATTTGAAATTGACCTCTGCTACATGATGGAAAGTTTACTGATCCTTTTGCAGATGGGAAAGTTGAAATAAAAAGAGGATTGAAATATTCTCAAAGTCAAGCAGAGGATTAGTGATAGCTTCAACCTAGAATTAGAAGGCAAGCACATCCTGATGCCAGTCCATTGAATTCAAAGTCACTGAACTGTGCTTTATTTTCTGACATAGGTAGCTTTTGTCCACCTGTTAATTTTTAATGTGTAAGCTATTATATAACACATTGCTATGTGAATCTACCTCTTTTCCTTGTTTCAATTTTTTTTTTTTTAGTGACTCTTAGCAGGTAAAAAATGCATCTAATTATCCTTCATGATGTTGCTTTTTGTTTCTTAGTTGGCCTTTAAGGTCAGGAACTATGCCTTAAGTGCCCTTATACTTTTGGTATATGGCACAGTACCTGGCACATAATAGATGTTTAATAAATAACTGTTGAGCAAATGAATGTTATCTGATGAAATAATTTTTTTAGAGTATTGAACAATTAACATGCCTAAATCCTCTTTACAGTATCAAAGAGAGTCAAACATCTAAACTGTCTTATTTAATTTGTAGCAACCTATTCTTAATGCTGAATCATAATTCCCTTACTTAATTATTGTCCTTTAGGAGTAAAATAAGAAACTGAACGCTTACAGCACCATTCTTGATTTGATTCCTAACTATAGGCTAAACTAGGCTTTAATTTCCATAGGTAACAGTATAACATTTACATATTTAAGGAAAGAAAATAAATTCTCCCAACTGAAATAAGAGGTAATATAAGGAGACAGAATTATTGGTACCAAGTTAGCAAAAAGGCATTTTAAACCTGACTCATCTGTGCCTTATGTATTTCATAACTGATGATTAGCTTCTCTTAATCAGTTGAACATCTG